CCGTATTAAAGTTTGTGACTCACGAAATCGTAATGACACGATTGCAAACAAACCATACCACGGGCGGGATTGAACCCGCAAACGGTCTGGAGTTTTGAGACTCTCTGACCGTGGGTTCAATCCCGCCCGTGGTATTGTTTAAAGTTTGTGTATAAGACATCCCTTGGGAGGCCGTAGCACGGAAAGCAAAGTCCGAAGATAACATCCACAAGCCTGCATTCCTGTTATTGTTTTTTTTAATAATATTGAGCAAGCGTTTGTTAAATAAAGTGTGTAGTGTCCCACCCCCGTCTCGTTTTCTTTTTTTAACCAACCCTGCATTGTTTCTTTTCTGTTTTCACCTTCCTTCCCGATTTCTGTGTTACCCACCTTTCCCGTTTTTTGTGTGTTTTCCCATCCCTCCTGTTTTCTATGTTTTCTGTCCCTCCCATTTTCCGTGTTTCCCGTCCCTCTCGTTTTCTGTGTTTCCCATCTTTCCTGTTTTTTGTGTGTTTCCCCATCCCTCCCGTTTTCTTTGTTCTTTGTCTCTATCCCTCCCGTTTCCTTTGTTCTTTGTCTCTATCCCTCCCGTTTTCTGTGTTTTCCATCCCTCCCTTTTTCGGTGTTTTCCATCCCCTCCCTCTTGCTGTGATTCTCCCATCCCTCCCAGTTTCTATGTAATATCTCCCATTGCTTTCAATATCTCCCACACACTTCTCAATGTCAGTCTTCATTATTCCTCGGAATTTTTGCCTCGATCCCGTGCAGTGTCAACAATTACTCGCATTTTTCAGCTATTAATATTAATTATTTTTTTTCAGTTTACCATTCATCTCGTTTTCGATGTTTCTTATCTCTCCCATTTTCTTTCCCTGACTCAGGGTATCTGTTGTCTTGATTTGTTTCACCATGTTTTCATTTACTTCCACTTGATTTCCGTCTTGCTTATCGTCTTCCGTTCCATTCTGGTTTCTCTTTCTCTCCCATTCTCTCTGTTTTATAGATTTTTTCTCCTCTTTGCTACATGTTATAGAGTCTTTATTCTATTCTTATTATGAATCTGTATTTATCTGTTGTTGTTTAATTTCCGTTCTGATTTTTCCCAGGTTTCTTTTTTTACTATTTCGCATGTTTTATCCCTTGCTTGCTTTATTATTCTGCATCTCTGTAATTCCATTTTCTGTGTTTTATCTCCCGCTGTCACTCTTGCACATCCTGAGCTTCGTTTCCTCTGCATATCCAATATAATCCTGTTTTGTTTTTTCTTTCTCTCTTCTTCTTCTTCTTCTTCTTCTTCTTCTTCGTCATCTTCTTTGTTGATGTCCCACATCTGTTTTCTGTGTCCCCTGCTCGGTTTCTGTTTCTCATCTTTTTTAAGTAGTGCATCCTTTTCTCTGTCATCAGCAGGATTCATACCCACGTAGGTTTCAATCCTTTCGAAAACAAATTATACAGATCATTTGATTTGCAATATTTATACATAAAAATGTGTTTAGTTAAGTAACCCAAATAGTTTTCATGACAATTTAATACACTGTTAGATATATATACTGTAGATATATATATAATATATTATATATTATATATATATATATATATATTATATATATATATATATATATATTATATATATATATATATTCTAATTGTGTACTTTGACGTATTTTGATTAACCGAAAATTAAATGCATTAAATATTGTGTGTGTGTGTGTGTGTAGTTTCTCTCTTGTCTCAATAGTCATGGAAAATATCAGAAATAGCAGTAGTATTAATACTATGTAAACCAGTCCTCCCTCACCTGTAAACCAGTCCTCCCTCACCTGTAAACCAGTCCTCCCTCACCTGTAAACCAGTCTTCCCTCACCTGTAAACCAGTCCTCCCTCACCTGTAAACCAGTCCTCCCTCATCTGTAAACCAGTCCTCCCTCACCTGTAAACCAGTCCTCCCTCACCTGTAAACCAGTCCTCCCTCACCTGTAAACCAGTCCTCCCTCACCTGTAAACCAGTCCTCCCACACCTGCAAATCAGTCCTCCGTCAAGTCAACCAGTCCTCCCTCACCTGTAAACCAGTCCTCCCTCACCTGTAAACCAGTCCTCCTTCACCTGTAAACCAGTCCTCCCTCACCTGTAAACCAGTCCTCCCTCACCTGTAAACCAGTCCTCCCTCACCTGTAAACCAGTCCTCCCTCACCTGTAAACCAGTCCTCCCTCACCTGTAAACCAGTCCTCCTTCACCTGTAAACCAGTCCTCCCTCACCTGTAAACCAGTCCTCCCTCACCTGTAAACTAGCCCTCCTCACCTGTAAACCAGTCCTCCCTCACCTGAAAAACCAGTCCTCCCTCACCTTTAAACCATCCTCCCTCACCTGTAAACCAGTCTTCCCTCACCTGTAAACCAGTCCTCCCTCACCTGTAAACCAGTCTTCCCTCACCTGTAAACCAGTCCTCCCTCACCTGTAAACCAGTCCTCCCTCACCTGTAAACTAGTCCTCCCTCACCTGTAAACCAGTCCTCCCTCACCTGTAAACCAGCCCTCCCTCCCCTGTAAACCAGTCTTTCCCTCACCTGTAAACCAGTCCTCCCTCACCTGTAAACCAGTCCTCCCTCATCTGTAAACCAGTCCTCCCTCACCTGTAAACTAGTCCTCCCTCACCTGTCTTCCCTCTCACATTTAGTCAAGAAAATGTTTACTCACATTTTTTCACAAAAATATTTTAGCCACACTACTTTCTATTGGCGAGAGAAGACTAATTCATAATAATCACCATTAAAACTTAACAACTTCATTAGTTACCAACTTACGAAAGGCAGTTTGGTTACCGCTGCTGTTTCGTATAGTTAGAAAAGATCGTAAAAGGATTTCCATAACATCTCTTCCTTCTTTTGTTTTCACAGCTATGTTATTGTTATCTCTTACTGACCATTTAATTTTTTACAGACAGGTATATTATTATGCCTATTATATTAACCATTTTCTCCCTTTAAAACACATGTCTTACCACTCCGCCTTTTCCACTGATCGATTATTTAATACCATGGGTAAAAAAAAAAACATGAAATTCAAAGAATTCCGTGATAATTCGGCACACCCATGAATCTACGAGCTTGGATCAATTTATATAAGTTATATTTTCTGTTTATTTTTCCCTTCGAGGATGAGTGGGGGGATGAGGGTTATAAATGTGTACATAATAACCAGTCACCTCAATCTTAACCATATTAGCAACTGATAACGTAATAAATTTAATATTTCAAGCTGAACAAATATATGATACGAAGCAACGAGCCCCGATTGTAATATTATGCAAATATATATATTATATATATTATATATATATATATATATATTTTATATATATATATATATATATATATATATATATATATATATATATATATTTCTTTCGTTATAACAGACAACGAAAATGAGGCTTATTAACGAGATGATGAAGTTCTCCTTCAGGTTAAAACTTGAGTGCATCTCGAGTCATCCTTGTTCCTGTACTAGCTTGTAACACCACATCTGCTGCTGTTGGTCACCACCTGTCAGTAGCGTCCCGACACCACCTGTCAGCAGCTTCCCGACACCACCTTGTCTACACTCGGCTACCTTCCCTTCATTTGTCCTCTCTTCTAGACACTCTCCGTCTGAGGGACACCAATAGGACAGCAGAGGCCCTCGCTACCGTCCTCGTGGATACAGAACACTTTCCTCTCCACGTAGGTGACCTGAAAGGTTTAGCAAATACTGAAATGGCAATACCTCGTTTACCTCGTTTGCAAACAGGGAAGGGAAGAGTGCTTTGAAAAACATGAAGGGTTCTTAATTCGAAAAATTGGAGCTACCCTCATTTTTATGTCATCAGAACTGTGTAAATAGCACCTCATTATAATAATAATAATAATAATAATAATAATAATAATAATAATAATAATAATAATAATAATAATAATTAATAATAATGCAGCAGTTGCTTGCTGAAACAACTCATAACTAACCCAGTGGGTTGGTTGCAACTTGTTCCAACCACAGTATTGTTACTTGTATTCTTCTCTTTACTCTACAGAATTTCTTCAGTTGAAACTCTCAATAACATGAAAGCAAAACTATCGTCTGTGGAGAAAATATTTAAAGCAAAATTTAATTTAAACTAACGTAATTATGACAACTTTTTGAAAAAGGATTATATTTTTTAAGCAGGAAAAATTTATACTGTCAGCAATGTTTTGACATGAAAGAAACAGTATATGTTGCATTAATTACATTAAGTGCACAACAGACAGATATACACGTCTCAGTATATATACATTATCGACATACACTGAGTGGTATGTATCTCTAGATGTACATACACGGAGAAATTATTTAATCCCTAAAATAGGTATTCAAGTATTTTTGATGTCTGGTGGACAGGTGAGAGACAAGCTTAGAGTCCCTCGCGCAGTTAATAAGCTTTAAAACTAATAAAACCAACCGAAGCCCAAGAAACTCCTAGTTTCTCATATTGTGAGTCAAATGGCTCATGACTTACCAGTGGAGATGATAGAAACAGTCGACTTAGAGGAACTTTACTGAAAATTGCTAAACTGACTGTGGCATGCAAAGGGTACGTAACCTTTATTCGGTGCATGCACACACCCTCAATGAAAGGCTATCTCCCCAGCCAGCGAACCAGTACTAAGGGTCGGACGATGGGGCCCCGTCGTTCGATCAGTACCCAGGTTCAGCCAATGAGAAGATGATTTTGCAATCGCTGAGGTGTTGTGGGCACCACCCGCCTGTCTGCCCTTGTCATTCCCATTCTAGAGCTGGTTGAAGCACGGTCTGCTCTCTACTGCCATCTATTCTGCCTTGCTTGCCGTGGCTTGCACTAATACCTATTGTTGTACATAGTGTATATAGTGTACATACTTCTGTTCTTACTTGGTGAAAGGATAATATAAGTCAAAAGTTTTTCTGCTGTGTTTATTTTGCTCCCTTTACACCCAGGATAACAGGCCTTTGGAATCCTGGGTTGTAATACTGACTGAAGAAGATTCTTCCGCGGGCGAAATGTCTCTGTAATGCTCCTCTCTGCAAACTGTATCTATCCTCTCGATGTGGAAGAATGAGACGCTTGTGCAACATTTGGGAGTCTTTATTTAGGAAACGCTTCGCCACACATTGGCTTCATCAGTCCAATACAAAGAAGAACGGCGAAAACAAAAGAGGAGGAGTTGAAAGTAATCAGCCCCTCATCCTGGAAACGATGTGCTCAATCCATCACATCGATTCCAGGCTGAGAGATTGTCTACCTCAAAATCCTCCTCTTTCACCGTTCTTCCTTGCATTGGACTCATGAAGCCACTACATGACCAAACGTTTCCTCAATAAACATTCCCAAATGTTCCACAAATATCTCATTTTCAACCTGTCAGTTTTCTAAATAATTTATCACATTTTCTCGATGTGTTTAGAAAAGCAGGAACACTTACCGTGTTCCTGCGTTTTCTAAACATTGAACAATATTTTGTCCGGTGAACAGTGTTGCGTATTACGGGCGTTGTGAGTGAATATGTTTAACGAACAGTTAAGTAGGCGTGTGGATATTTAGGCAAAAATAAGCGATTCTGGTTGTATTTTTGGGAAAACAGAATGTGTGTATGATGGTTGTAAATGGTATTGTGATGCTGACAAACAGTGGAAAAGGCCTTTGTGTGCAGGTCTGTTTAAAGTGTCCCGAAATTAACAAAAATTTTCTATTTCACTGTGTGTATGTTGCAATAACAGTGATTCTGTGTGTATGTTGCAATAACAGTGATTCTGTGTGTGTTGCAATAACAGTGATTCTGTGTGTATGTTGCAATAACAGTGATTATGTGTGTATGTTGCAATAACAGTGATTCTGTGTGTATGTTGCAATAACAGTGATTCTGTGTGTATGTTGCAATAATAGTGATTCTGTGTGTATGTTGCAATAACAGTGATTCTGTGTGTATGTTGCAATAACAGTGATTCTGTGTGTATGTTGCAATAACAGTGATTCTGTGTGTATGTTGCAATAACAGTGATTCTGTGTGTATATTGCAATAACAGTGATTCTGTGTGTATGTTGCAATAACAGTGATTCTGTGTGTATGTTGCAATAACAGTGATTCTGTGTGTATGTTGCAATAACAGTGATTCTGTGTGTATGTTGCAATAACAGTGATTCTGTGTGTATGTTGCAATAACCGTGATTCTGTGTGTATGTTGCAATAACTGATTCTATGTGTATGTTGCAATAACAGTGATCTGTGTGTATGTTGCAAACTGATGGATTTGCAATAACAGTGATTCTGTGTGTATGTTGCAATAAAAGATTTATTTTGTGTGTATACTGCGATAACAGAATGATTCTGTGTAGGAGAACATATTAATTCTGTGTATATAGGAAAAGCAAATTAACTCTACTTGCATAAGGAAAACAAATTGACTTTGCGTCTATGTAAGGCAAAAGAGGTTGATTATGCATATAAGTAGGGAAAGCAGATTGTTTCTCAGTGTATGTAGTGAGAAATCAATTTATTCTGCGTGTAAGTAGGTGGAACACAGATTGTTTCTCAGTGTATGTAGTGAGAAATCAATTTATTCTGCGTGTAAGTAGGTGGAACACAGATTGTGTGTGTGGAGGGAGAACTGGGGATTTTTTTTTAAGTGTAGAATAAACTGAGTGACACGGTGTGTATTGAGAACAGAGCGACACTGTATTGGGAATAGAGTGACACTGTGTGCGCTTTAAACAGAGTGGCACTGTATGTGTTTAGAACGGAGTGACATCGTGAGTGCTGGGAAGAATAACACAGAGTGTGATGGGAATAGCGACACGATGTGTGATAGGTACAGTGACCTGGTGAGTGATGGGTATAAAGGGCGACTCACCTTGTGAGGCACAACGGTGTGGTATTCTTTCAACTCCTCGACCGGAAACCATGCAGGTTCATCGTCTTGTATAACGTGGATACCACACAACCTGCAACAGCAACCTTTATTAAGAGAGAGAGAGAGAGAGAGAGAGAGAGAGAGAGAGAGAGAGAGAGAGAGAGAGAGAGAGAGAGAGAGAGAGAGAGAGAGAGAGAGAGACAGACAGACAGACAGACAGAGAGAGACAGAGAGAGACAGAGAGAGACAGAGACAGAAAGAGAGATCAGCATCTTTTCAAGACACCTGTCAACCCATTACCCATCCATCTTCTGCTCAGCCATGACCTCCCTTCTCGCTAGACACGAGCCCCTTCCTGCCCCTTGACATTTTGATGCAAGGAAGTGAACTAATCTTGTGTGCCTTTCCCCAAGGGGTTGTGTGACTCTTACGAGTTTAGTGCTTTTTGGTTAAAATAAATAAGTAATATGTACTTCGTCAGGTATCTCTCTTTCCTTCTTTGTTTCCAGCTGATCTCTTCCTCCTTCCCTTCTTCTCTCCCTTCCTCTCTTCATTGTTTTCATTCCCTCTTTTCTTTCCATTTCTCCTGCACTCACATAATTTTCAGATCCTTTTTTTTGTTCCCTTTTTGTCCATCCTCTTCATCCTGTGCCTCTACTCCTCTCATATTCTCCTTCTCTTCTACTTCCCCGTTTCCTCTTTGTCCTAATTACATCCTGTCTCTTTTTCCTCCCTTATTTTTCTTATTCTTCCTTTGTTTCTTACCCTTTCCTCTCTCCCTCCCTCTTCTTCCTCCCTTGTTTCCTACCCTTCCTCCCTCCCTCCCTCTTCTTCCTCCTTGTTTCCTACCCTCCCTCCCTCCCTCTTCTTCCTCCCTTGTTTTCTACCCTTTCCTCCCTCCCTCCCTCTTCTTCCTCCCTTGTTTCTTACCCTTTCCTCCCTCCCTCCCTTCTTTACTACTTCTATTCCTCTCTCCCTACTTCCCACCTCCCTTCCCTGTACTCTGTCCCTCTGGAGGCTAGGAGGGGCTCTTGATCCAGGGAAATGAGCTTGTCCTGCTCTTCCCTGGGTCGTACTTGATCACTTCTCCTCCCACCAGGCGCCGTGTGGCCCCTACTGGTTTAGTGATTTACCATAAATACAAATAATTAATAATGTAATTAACAATATTTAATCATTAATGATAATTATTTGTATTAAAAAAGGAGTAATTAATAGTAATTAAGAATTTATGTAATAATAAAATAATAATTATATACAATCATTAGTAGCAATAATAATTTTTTTATTAAAATTAAGAGTAATTAATAATTAAGAACTGAATACCGGCGAATCTTAAAAAAACTGATATAGTGTAATAGTGTAAATAACAATAGTAATAATAATAGTAATAATAATAGTAGTAATAATATAAATAATAATAATAATAATAATAATAATAATAATAATAATAATAATAATAAACAATTAAATTTTTGGAGGTCATTTCCCTCACAGCTCCGACCTGGTGAGAGCAATGCCAGGTATCCAGAGTGCGGAGATCAGTACCAGTACAGCTACCAGTCCCCACGCCCACGGCGGCCACTGTTCGAACTTCACCACGGCCTCGTTCGCATCCCACGCCATGTACCTAGAGCCGTTCAGCACCTGCCGAACGAAAGGCCTGGTTAGTAAAAGGATGTGTACGTTCTCCTGAACGGGGGCTCGAGCCCTGTCCTGGTTGTAATGTATTAAAGCTGCATCTTGTGTGACCTATTTTGACTTCTGATGTCATTACCTTGGGTTGCTTCGTGTGAATGTTTACCACTGCATTTGGAATCACTTTTGAGCCTGTGTTGATGTGTATTGTGTGTGTGTGTGTGTGTTGACGTGTGCTGCGTGTTGACGTGTGTTGTATGTGTGTTGATGTGTGTTGTGTGTGTGTTGACGTGTGTTGTGTGTTGACGTGTGTTGTATGTGTGTTGTGTGTGTGTTTTGAAGTGTGCTGTGTGTGTGTGTTGACGTGTGTTGTATGTGTGTTGATGTGTTTTGTGTGTATGTTGACGTGTGCTGTGTGTGTGTTGACGTGTGTTGTATGTGTGTTGACGTGTGTCTGTATTACGAGTGTTGTGTCTGTGTTGACTTGTTCTGTGCCTATTCTGACCAATTTTATCACAGTCTTCTCTGTGCCATATGTAATTTAACATGCCCTCTCGTGATATAGCTTGGTCTGTTTCATGTTAGATGTTCCCTTATCTAAGGTGCCAGTGGTGACCTCTGTGACGTACAGTGTTTGACCTTTACTCACCTGGGCAATATCATATTATTGACAACAAACAATACCGAGAATCCGATAAATAAGACACACGTGAAACACTTGGGTCTCCTTAGGGCAGATGGACTGATCACCTCACAGCTATTTTTTTCTACTATCTTCAGTGTTATATTCGCCTATATTCGACTGAAGAAGCCTGTTATGCAGGCGGAAAGTTTCAGCATGAAAGATACCAAGTACTGTATTCATTTATCTTGTTAATATCGATTGTCATCTTATCTGAGGTGCAACAAGTACCTCTCTGGCACACGTCTGATCTCTGCTAACCTGCTTGATGATGGAAGAGGCGAGAATGGTGAGCATGACGGCCGGGGAGATGTATTTCCAGCACAGGAGGAAGAAGCTGCTCGGTCTGCTGCCTATCATCAGCTCAATGTCGTCGCTGAACCTAGAGGCCATGGAACAGAATCAGGGTATTGTGGTAGTGACGCGAAGGAATGAGCTGGAGATCACCGACAGCTTCTTTAGACACGAGAGAGAGAGAGAGGGAGAGAGAGAGAGAGAGAGAGAGAGAGAGAGAGAGAGAGAGAGAGAGAGAGAGAGAGAGAGAGAGAGAGAGAGAGAGAGAGAGAGAGAGAGAGAGAGAGGCATGACTAACCTACGGAGGATCAAACCTCCACGAATTCCTGCGGAGAATGACCCACACGGGTTGTAAGTTGATATATTGCGAACAAAACTCATTTATAGTCGAGGAGATCGTTTATACACGAAGCAATTCCGTCTTAAGTTAAACAAATGTATTAGTGAAAAGGACCTACATATTAATACATATTAAGAGCCAGTAGGCCTACTGTAGTGATCTATGTTCATGCTCTTAATCTCGAGAAGAAACACTCACTTCTTCAGACCGTAGACGTAGGAGACGGAGACGCACTCAAAGAAGGCGACAATGAGCAGTGGGATGTTGCCGGAGAAGTCGTCAAAGAGGATGAAAACATAGTTGCCAGCGCCGTGAGCGAACACCATACTGATGGCGCAGCATATACAACAGATGATCGCTGTCGACAAGCAAGTGTCAAATATAACTATAGATACGAAGAAACAATGTATTTGAGGTAGTGATTAACGAACAGATGACCAAACCTTCACTACTCTAATGCTACAAGACCTGCACTTGTTTAGTGCAGCACAAAGTTATTTGTACTGTATGAAAGCTGGCAATACAGAACATAATATGGTTTCAGTCATTCGGTAGGTTTCGTCTTTAATGAAAGGATTTATAGACTAATATAAATCCTTGAAGAATAAGAGACACGTACAACAACTGAGTAACTTTATTGAAGAAACGATTCACTCGCATAACACGCTTCGGTTGGTTACAGCTGAATATAACACTTGAGACAGCAGAAGCAAACTTAGTGATCAGTCCCTCCTCTGTGGTAAGAGGTGACTGATCTACTGTCTTCAGTGTTATATGCGCTTGCATTCGACTGAAGAAGCCTGCTGCGCAGGAAACTTTTCACCAATATAATACCCAAGTGTTGTGCATGTATCTTAGCCTATCGAAGAAAATCTATCATAGGATTAGAATGTTAGTTCTTCAACTAACTAGGATTCTAACACATGCTAAAGTTAAAATTCACTATAATAGTTTTGTCACCAGATAAAAGCATATTACGTACTTATTACATGATAATAATTCCTGTTGGAAATAATCGTATTTATAACTTAGTCTCCAGATAACTTAACAGTGATATATGTACTGTCACAGCCTCCCACCAACAACTTCCTAACACTTGCCTTACATGTAAGGATCTTCCCAACAACTGTCTCACCTGTGAGGATTTCCTTCCTGATGCTGGGGAACACCTTGAGGTCAACGATGGAGGTAATAACGCCCTCCAGGGTGCCGAACTCAGAGTCTATGCCCAGTGTGAAGAGCATGAGGAAGAACAGCACCGACCAGAAAGGCGCCCAGGGAAACTGGTTGATGGCCTCAGTGAAGACGATGAAGGCCAGGCCTGTTCCAGAGGCCGACTGAGGCCACGTCAGGAAGATAAGGCAGTTAGAGGAGGGCGTCAACACAATAAATGAATTAGTCTTGGTCAATAATAGCTCACATGGAGACAGAAACTCTGGAGATAGATTATTTTCCTATAGAAGCCCTTGTTGTAAATTAAGATGGGGACCAGAAAGGTAGTATTTGATATCTAATTCCTATTATTCTTTTTAAATGAAAAAATTTAAAAACATGCACTCACCAGAGTTGATTGATCAGTATATTTCGACCCCCACAAGGAAGATCGAAATATACAGATCAATCAATCTCCTGAGTTTCTTTCTCCATGTGGGTTATTAATGAGCACCGGCAAGTGTTCATTGCATTTTATTTATTCAATAATAGTCTTAATCAGTTAAAGCCACTTTCAGTGGCTTGGCCCAGGTTATGTATCTCACAGACTTACGTTCTTAAGTGTCTCCTGTAGGTCACACTTGGGCAACTCAGGCATGGGTATCTCCGTGGTGCCGCCGTCCACCGAAATGGAAATCATCTCCCCCGGGGGTATAGGATCGACATCCGTCGTGTTGAAGAGCTCCATGTTGATGGCGTTCCTCTCCTCAATACACTGCTCGTAGGTGATATGAGCCTTGAACCCTGCGAGAAGGTGAGCACTGTTAGGTAACGGGGATCTTGAGACTAGCGAACGTAGGGTCGAGCATCCATCCACTCCTTGTGCCCAATGACATAGTAGTTAGGACATCTGCCAGTTTGTTCAAGTGATATGTAGGACTTTAGAGAAACTGGTCAGATACTATTGCTAGCATCACAGCTAACATCACTAAGGAAACTCCTCCATTAGCCTCTCCCTACACCACTTCCATCACCAGTCTTCTCCAACATATCCTCCATCAGTCTCCCCATCCACCATCTCCTCCCCACACTACTAACAACCTTTAATGCGAAACAGCTAAGGTGTGAAGTGTGATCCGCTTAGCTCATTAGGCTTTGCTAATATAATTTCTTAATCCTCGTTTTCCCCATCTTCTCTCTTTCTCTTTCTCTTTCCTTACCCAATGGTTCAATCCCCGGACGCCTGTGACCACAGGCGTCCGGGGATCACTTCTCCAGTGGATATCTCAGTGAAATGATGCAGATCCTCACCCAGTACGGAGAAGACGACAATAGCAGCGAAGATAGCAGTGCAACAGTTGATGATGCCACACACGACGGCGTCCCTGAAGCAGTTGTTGTGGACGGGGTTGTAAGAAGAGAAGGCGATGAGACCACCGAATGCCAGACCCAGGGAGAAGAAGATCTGCGTGCCAGCCTCCAGCCACACCGTCGGGTCCAGTATCTTCCCCCA